GATCTTTTCGGCAAAACAAAAGTTAAACGTCCGATTTTTAAATGCTTGCCAGTTCCTCCCAGTTCTGGCAACGTCGTGGCCGCAGGCCATTCCACTGGAAGCTTCGAGGGCTACACCAATGCTGGGGTTTGGGACTTCGTTGTCATGAAGCTCAACAGCTCCGGAGCCTTACAGTGGATCTTGCAGACGGGGAGTACTTGGACGGACGTTTCAGATGCTGTGCAGGTGGAGAGCTCTGGTGACATCGTGGTCGCAGGCCATTCCTCCGGAAGCTTCGAGGGCTACACGACAGCGGGCGGTTATGACATGGTTGTCATGAAGCTCAACAGCTCGGGAGCTTTACAATGGCTTTGGCAGACTGGAACCAGCGGGACCGATTTTGTGCGTGATGTGCAGGTGGAAAGCACTGGGAGCATCGTGCTTGCTGGCCATTCCACCGGAAGCTTCGAGGGCTACACCAATGCTGGGGATTACGACATGGTTGTCATGAAGCTCAACAGCTCAGGAGCTCTGCAATGGACCTTCCAGATTGGGACCAGTGCGACTGACAATCTGCAGGCTGTCCATGTGGAGAGTTCTGGCAACATGGTGGTCGCCGGCCAGTCTGAAGAAGGACTCCAGGACCAGACCAGCGTTGGCGAATACGACGTGGTTATCATGGAGCTCAACAGTCAAGGAACCTTGCTATGGCTCTTCCAGACTGGGACCAGTCAGGCGGATTATGCACATGCTGTGCAGGTGGACAGCTCTGGCGACATCGTGCTGGCCGGCCATTCCCTTGGTAGCTTCGAGGGCTACACGACTGCGGGCGGTTTTGACATGGTGGTCCTGAAGATTGGGAAGCCCACAACCACGACCACGACGACATCCTCAGCGATTTCGAGTGCAAAGAACGCCTCCACAAGTTTGACCAGCACTTCCAGTTCCAGCTGGACTACACTGACATTCACTCCAGGAAGCCCTGAGGCTGTTGGTGCAGCCGTGAGTGCGGCGCTGAAGTCTCTGGCAACGGCCCAGGCCGAATTCGCAGAACTGATATTGGAAAGCGCCAGCGATGGACTCCAGCGAGAGGTCCAGGACGCGCATGGCCAATCGATTGTCGGCGTCGCCTTCGAGGTTACAGGGAGCGACATGATGTTCGAGAATGACGGCATTTCTGTCCACCTGGCTGCAGCATCCCTGCCACGCGTGGGAAACCTGGCCGTGATCAGCACGGCAAAAGTACATGGTGGCGGCATGCTGGCGAAACTGATCCAGGCGTACAATGGGGCTGCGGGTGCCGCCCAACTTGCGGAACCAGTGTCCCTTCACATTTCGGCAGCTGGCCCGTCATCTACGAGTGTGCCTATGCAGTTGACCATGCCCATCACGAATGGCAGTGACGAGTTTGTTCAGAAGGCGTGCGTTGCCTGGGATGTGTCCACCGACACTTGGACCACGGACGGTGTGGCCCTGAATGCCTCTGATGACTTCTCCGTGACCTGCTCCATTTGGCTATCATTTGGAGAAAATGTTTCTGGCCGCAGGCTGGATGCTCTTCAGCCCAGTCTCTTCAGCTACATCTCACCAAGCCTCGGCCTGAACGAAAGCTTTCCACCGGCTCCCAATCCAGAAGGACAGGAGGTCCCGTGGGCTGTCGTTCTGCCCATCGTGGCCGGCATTGCCGTTGTCATAGCTGTGCTGGCCCTTCTGTTGTGGAAGTTCCGGAGGAAAAGAGCCAGAATTGAGCAAGATGAATCTCTTCGGGAAACTGGTTCTGCAGTGGAAGCAGTGGCTGTCAGTCCTGACGCGGAAGCTCCAGTCGACAGAGACCAGATGATCCGCAGCTTTGTCAAGAAGGAGGAGGCGGTTGACTGCGACGCGGTGAGTATCCGGGAAGAGGACAAAGCAGCCAAGACTGTCAAGAAGGCTCGCTTGGCGATGGTTTCCGCTCGCTTCAATGCCAGGAACCGGGATGTGGAGCAGAAGTTTCGCCGCGTATGCCAAATCCTTCGTGCACGAGACCTGGAGGTCCTCATGGTCAATGCTGGCGGAGCACAGGATGTTGGTGACATGACCATGGAGTACCTACAACAGTTGAAAGAGAAGAATGGTGTTATGCTGGCGGTGTGCACCAGCGACTATGCAGAGAGAACGAAGAGTCCATATTCATCCCACGCTGAGCTCAAGTATGCCCTGGATAACCGACTTGACATCTTGCCTTTGAAGGTTGAAGCAACCTATCCACCCGAGCCCCCATGGGGGGAGGACCATCCCTTCGACAAGAAAGGCATCGCTTGTGGGCTTGTGAGCTTGGCCATACCAAGCTCAAAGGTCTTTGTGGATTGCATTGGTCAAGCAGATGTCTGGATTGCAGATGAGATTGAAAACGTATTACGATCTTCTTCCGAACTTGCGAGAGGTCTCAGCGGCCATGGCACAAAGTCAGAGCTTGGGTCCACGGCGCAATGACTTGCTGATCTCTACAGGCCGTAGACGATGCGCTTAAAGTTGGTTGTGGTGCAAGAACTTGAACTCAGTTTACATGATATTTCCCGCTGGATGATACACCAGTTCAACCCTTGGGCAACTGCATTTTGGCGCATCTGACAATGGCCATGACGGCAACACGTGCCATTGCGTTCCAGTTGTGGTTTTTCTCGAGTTTGCTGGGGCCATGTGCCGAAGGGACTCGTCCTGTTTCGCCAACAGTGACTAACAAGGAAGCACCTTGCTGCTTTGTTGCTGTATGGCCACAGGCATTTGCAGGTCAGGTCCGAATACATTTTACGTCCTCCGCATTCTGCCTGCCCAAGGCAGGTCAGACAGGAGCGGTGCTGCGAATTGCCAGCACAACTCCGACTAGCTCAGGTGAGCTACAGTCTAAACGGACTACAGGAAGGGGGTTTATATGGGGGATTATTCTTCAATTTGATGCTCCATTGAGGGGGAGACTAGGAGTTTCGGCTGTAGCTCAGATGTTCACAGGGCATGGACTGGGAGGGAATGCAGGACTGGATCCACATGGAAGTGCCTATATGAGTATATGAGCGATTGTCTAAGCTCCTTGAAGGGGTATACAAGGGGCTACATAGGGGACTATACTAGGGTTATGAAGAGGGATACTGTAGCCCAGATGTCCCCATCTACAGTTGACCTTCCCGTTCCTGCATTCTTGACTGGCCAGCCGGAATCACCAGCCAGGCCTTTTCTGCATGTAGTAAGTTTGGAGTCGGCTAGTTGGTCCATATTCATGGTTTCGCTTGTCTAATACTTAAAATTTCTCAATTTCGCGACCATTTGAGGCAAACGCCCATTCACTTGTGCAGGCAGCCGGCCCAAACTGTTGTTGTCGGTGTTGTTTCAAAGTCGTAGCGACTTTGCCCAAGAAATCCCCGACCTCCTGAAGGATGCAAGAATGGCAACCCCATAAAGATGTTCCCAGTACCACATTTGGAAGACTAGAGGACTATTGTCAGGCTCCAGTTGTTGGATCCATTTGGGGGGTTTGGGTTGCAAAACCGTCGACCGAACAAACGAGAAGCAGAAGCAATGGACGTGTTTTGCGCACGAAGTACCTCCACGACCCTGACCTTGGCTTGTAGCTTAGACTCGACCCTAAAATCGAAGATGCTTTTCAACGCACGCTTGTCATGGCCAACCCTGAGGGCTAAGAGACCGAACGCGTCCACATATGCCCGCTCCGGACGGAGCTTTGCCAGCTGAGACATGCGGTCAAAAGGGACGCTGAATACAAACCTACTGTTTGGGCCACTGGGGGTTTCCGTGCCGGCTTTCGAGATGTAGACTAGGCGAGTGCGCCTAGGAACTTCACGGGTTACGGACGTGGGCTAGGGCAATGAAGCTCCTGCGGATCAGTCCTCAAGCCGCCGAGAGCCTTCAAAACCTCTGCTCGCTTTCCTTGAAACTTCGGAGGCCGCTCAAGTCTTCCGTCTCCTGGACCTGGATGGGCAGCTGGGACTACTGAAGATGCGTCGAAGCTGCGGGGTAGATGTGAAACGTTGCAGACCTACGTTTCCAACAGCAGCGTGGGTGACAAGCCTTGCCAAGAAGCCCTCTAAACAACCTTCGAAAATGCGCGCCACCTGCGTGGAAATCAGGAAGGATGTTTGGGTTGCGGCTTTCTGCTGCTTCTAGGGCTTCGGGGGGTTGCGGTCGACGGCCTTCAGCCTTCAGCGATTGCCTTCGGGTCTGGAGTTCGGGGCTTGCCATGGAAACGCATGACCCCAAGCCCAAAGCAGGATGCAGGTACGGACTATTTTAGCCATAAGAGGCAACTCTAACAGCAACAACATAACAAGGAATGGCAAACCATGGCATTGGCGAGGCAGATTCCGCAGACTCTTGCTGCAAAACCTTTGGGGCCACTGCAGCAGTCCAAGAGCTCCGAAGCTTGAAACCCTTCAGGCCACATGGGTAGTTCGTTCTCTCAAGTAGAGTCCCTTTCTAGGTCCCCAACATAGTACGGCACCCTTATAAAAAGGACCCCACAAGGGACCCTAATTTAGAGAACCACCCACATCGAGGAGCCACGAGCTGCAGCTTGACGAGTTCGTGATGGGTTGCATGCGCCGTGGCTGAGGTTTTAGGACCCTCGGGTGAGGATTTTCACGGCCTTACAAGCCCTCATGTTCAAAAGGGGTTTGGCAAGAAGGATGTCCAAGGAGGGGCGAGGATCATGCAACAAAGGTCTTTGGGGCACCATCGGCTTAGGTGCCTTTGGGCTTTCTTGTCGCCTGTTGTGCGCATATACATTCTGTCTCTTCGAACAGACGCAGGTGCTCACGCTCCGGATCCAAATCCTAATCCCCAACGCTTTGGCGCTTCACATCTGGACCCTTCGCGAACCCTAGACCATCATCTGGCAGAGCCCGAATGTTGAGAGCTGTATAGCAAACCCTATAGACCCGAGCACTATCAGTTTGAGATTTTAGGGGTGCGAGGGCTCAGCAACGGCCGACACCAGGCGACTGAAAGGCATGGCCAAAGGGATCGACCTCGAGACCTTGATGTGGCTGGCCCAGGAACCCAGAGAGCCCAATACCCCTTAAATAAGGAATGTACCTTAAATTATAGGGGCCTTAGTATTATGATAGGTATATTCCTTAAGAAAGGGGTTTGGGGCTCTCTGGGAACATCTGCTGATTTTTGAGCTGTCCGGTGTTCGTGGCCCATGCTTGATGCTGGAGTGTACTTCAGCCCCTGCACCTTTATTGTTGACTAGCGACTAGCAGCGAGGCAGGCGCTGTTTTGCGGAAGTACAGCAGGCACTAACAGTCACTAGCACATCTCTGAGGTTTGAAAGCCCTTTTTAAGGTTGGAGTGCCGCAAGCTGGCCAGCTTGTTCAGCAAGCATCGGAAGCTGACAAAGAGGTCGGGCACGCACAGGGGCGGGCGTTCGGATCATGACCCTCAATGGCATGTCGAGTTCGACGTTCTGAGCTTGAAGCCTTTCGGGCAAACATAAGGACCTACAGCTGTAGCATGAGATGGCCGCGTACCCAAATTGCAAAGGTCGACATCCCTTCGAGAACCATCCGCACAACATGTGCTGAAAGTTACCGGGCCACCAGTATTCCTGATGAATGAACCATCCCTCCCTTGTGCAGGAGACCAGAACAACTTTTCAATGCATTGCACACATGTTCTAACATGGAAAAAACGGACGAGAGTAATTAGTGGAAGCACTGTCGAAGCTGCACTTTCCTAAATTATGTGCCAGAGTGGGCGTGCCCTCAAGTCCGCACGCTCCATGCGGAGGCTCCAATGTAGGGGAATTGTTTCAGGATAGACACGCGCAGGAAGCATCACGCTAGCCTTTCGATAAACGCAGCTTCCCAAAGCTACCCATAGGCTCCATGGTAGTTCCTTTTTGAGGTTCATATTTAGGATCCGATAAGGTAAATCCCAACAAGGAACTATTAAGGAGCCTATATGGGTAGATTCAGCACGAGCCGGCGTTTTTGCTGCAAGCCAGGGCCGATCCTCCAACCGTACCGAAGCGAAGCAGGCAGTTCGCTCGCCTTGAAGAGATGATGGCGGCGGGGCAGCGTGAACACCGTGCGGCGGCGGCCCCGGACCTTGGGCCCACCTGTCTAGTAGAATAAGGCCAGGGCCAGGGCTGGAGTTTAAGGCTCAGGGTCGAGAGTTCCGGATTTATGTGGGGTTTATCGGCCTTGTGTTGCGGATTCGCATTTCCGAAAGCACACCAGGGTACAAGGTAATGTAAGGCGGTGATGGATGATGTAACATTGACGAGAGTCCATCGGCGCGCTGAAATTGGGCTATTTGGGGTACCATTCAATTTGTGACTCGACGGCTGATGTGCACAAGGACCGCGTGAGGGGGATAGCAGCGAAGAAGGTCACCAGCTGGACCACCAGGGCCCAAACAGGCAGAATCTCACGAAAGCAAAAGGTGTGTCGAGGCTGACCGAATGGTAATTTGCATTCGCACCGCTGTACCTCATCGGCCCTTACAGGAACGAAGCAGACACGAGTGAAGCCGTTGAAGCAGCTCTGTAGCATCTTGTGTCTAGTAGCTGCCTTTCGTCCGCATTCGTCAATTGCTTGGTCGAGTTTTTAAAATGCTCTGGAGTCCTGTGACTACTGTGGTGCCATGCAAGCTAGATCTTCAGTTCCGGAAGGCAACAGTTGTTATGTTTTTTTGTGGGCTAGGCCAGCGGGCACCTTGTAGACATTAAACACTGAGCCCGAAACCCCCGTAGATATGTGGCCTGGTAGTGGAACTGAGGCTCCACCAGGCTCCAGGGATTCTGACCTCGGCCTTGGACAAAGGGGGCCACGACAAAGGGGAGAAGTTTTTTCCCGATCTCTAAGCTCCAGATACCCAGAACCCTGAACCCCTAAAAAAAGCCCCTCAAATCCATCTCAGGCAGTGCATGAACTGGCGGGCTTGGTCGCCAGCAAGGTCGATGCATCGTCCTTGTGAGCTGGGCGATGTTTGATTTCGGAGTTTTTTTTTTTTTTGGGGG